GAATTTCTCAGAATTCAATAACAACATGTTTAACAGCTAAATGGAGTCATTTGCATATTGTGGCAAAGTAAAAATACAATAATCTCATTTTTTGCTGTCTAATAGGATTTCCTAGGGCTGGATGGCTGGGAAGCATAGTCCAATCCTTGCAGTCTGCCCTTTGCTTTTTGTTCATTGTTTTCTTCCCTCTGGGCTTTTTCTTCTCCACCAGTTCTTTTTCTCCCTTTCTGCTCTACCTTTATTTTCATTCTTCTTCTTTTTTAATTGTTTTCTGTTTTTTGTATTTTTAAGAGACAAAGAGTCTCACTCTGTCACCCAGGCTGGGCTGGAGTACAGTGGTGCAATAACAGCTCACTGCAACCTACCTTCCCGGGTTCAACAATTCTCTTGCCTCAGCCTCCCAAGTAGCTGGGACTACAGGCACACACCACCATGCTCAGCTAAATTATTATATTTTAGTAGAGACGGGGTTTCACCATGTTCCCCAGGTTGGTCTGGAACTCCTGAGCTCAGGCAATCTACCCGCCTTGGCCTCCCAAAGTGCTAGGATTACAGGCGTGAGCCACCAGGCCCGGCCTTCATTATTCTTTTTTATCCTGTCCTCCCTTAATTTATTCCTTTCCATTATTTTCTTATTCACTAAAAGAGAGTCCAACTGACTGCTGTTAACCTATTCCTAAGTATTAGCAGAGGAAATGAATGATCATTTCTCATCATTTTCCTTGTCAGAACTTCTTTTTTTTTTTTTTCTGAGATGGAGTCTCGCTCTGTTGTCCAGGATGCAGTGCAGTGTCACAATCTCAACCCACTGCAACCTCCAACTCCCGGGTTCAAGTGATTCTCCTCCCTCAGCCTCCTGAGTAGCTGGGACTAAAGGCGTGTGCCATAACGCTTGGCTAATTTTTGTAGTTTTAGTAGAGATGGGCTTTCACTGTGTTAGCCAGGATGGTCTTGATCTCCTGACCTCATGATCCTCCTGCCTTGGCCTCCTAAAGTGCTGGGATTGTTACACCTTCTTTTACCTGCAAGTCTGCCATTATTATTGTTGTCATTATTATTGTTATTTCCCTGGTTATCTCTTTCTAGGCCAAGTCAAGAGAATAGGTGGACTGGGCCATTTCCTAGGAGGTACAGAAACATCCCACCAAATTCCAGAAAAAAGAGGATAGTACAATTACTGAAGTTTTGTGTGTGTTCATGTGTGTGTCTGTGTGCACACATATGAACTTTGATTATTATTTCCTCTTATTTTGCCTGCATTATTTGGATAAATGCTTTAAATAATCAGGACCAGAATGGCATGGTGGTTGAGAGACAGGGCTCTGACATTAGCTTATCTGGGTTCAACTTCATGCTTTCGCATATATTAGTTTGAGCCCATAAAACTGACTAGATTTTTCTGCTCTTCAGTTTCCTTATGTATGAAGTCAGAATAATTACAGAACAGAATTTACAGTACTACTGGGAAGATTCAGTAAGGTAATGAACTGAAAACATTAACACATTGCCTTGCACATAGTGGACACGGCAAGGGTGACTCTCATTCCACAAACCTACATGTTTGGGAAACAGCACATTTCTTTATTTGTGAATAAATTAGCCTCTCATTAGTTTGTAATTCCATCTCACATACTCTATTTGGGACATAAAGTCCCTCAGGGTCTTTTAAAGGTTCTGAGCCCACATGATGAGCCAATGTGCTGATGGTGGCCCCTGGTCATTACAATCTGCTCAGCCAAGTACCTGCTGGTGGAGCCATTGTCTCTCCCACCCTCAGCTCTCAAGGTCAGATTCCTTTTTGAATATAGAATCTTGGGAGAAGTTGGCAACCACTGTCCTTATGATCCCATTTTTGCCAATTCTTTCTATGAGGCGTCACCCCCGGGAAGGCAGAAGATAGGCATACCATTGTTCTGTCATCCACATGCCTCACTCCTCTCTAGTCTTAGGAAATGTCTCTCTCTTTTTTATTAAAATCAGGATCAAGCACCTCTCTGCCTCCTGCTTCTTCCAAGTCCTGGTTCTCTTCTATTGCTCTGCCAATGCTCTTTTCTCCTCTGAGCTTAGCCTATTGAAAACAAGATGGAGACATCTTGCAAGCACAGTGAGCCCTCCAGCCTGCCACAGACCACCCATGAAGCAATAAAGCATAGAGTTTTCTTCCTTTTTAAGTAGCTGGGGAGGGCAGAAAGACCCCAGTAGTAGTAGTACAGAAGAAAGAAAAAGAGAAAATACATGGGGAAACCCCAGAAATTAATTTCTAAATGTTATCCAGCTACATAAGTGTTATTCAGATATTAGGTGGTTTTTTTTGTTTTTTGTTTTTAAGCACCTTGCTGAAACTGTACTTGGCCTGATTAGTACTTTTCTCTTGGCATTTATTACATACCTTCAATCTTAGTTCATTTTCTGTTGCTATAACATGATGCCTGAGACTGGGTAATTTATAAAGAAAGAGGTTCATTTGGCTCTTGATTCTGGAGGCTGGGAAGTGCAAGATCAGACAGCTGCATCTGGTCCACTTCTGGTGAGGGTCTTGTATACCATCACAACATAGCAAAGAGGCAAAACAGGAAGTGTACATGCAAAAAGGACAAAACATGAGGCATGACCTTGCTTTATAAAAACATACTCTCTGGAGAACTAACCTGATTTTGTGAGAAAGACATTAATTCATCTTGCTGGCCTAATCACCTCTTGAAGGCCCCATCTCCCAACGTGGTTACCTTGGCAATTTTTTTGGCAATCAATTTTAACATAAGTTTTGGAGGGGACAAACCACATTCAAACCATAACACTTTCCTTCTTAGAACATCATCTTCTTTGCTATGACTCAGCCATCTTCTAGTTACCTCCTATAACCCTGGGTGCTACTTCTGTTTATTTCATGGAATCTTCTACAATCTGTGTCATAGTGTTTGTGGGGTTCCAGATTCTGCTCTGGGCTCTCTTCTCTTCTCACCCTACCCATTTCCCTGGGAAATTGTACCTACTTCTGTTATTGATCTTTTGATAACTTCCATCTCTGTTCTTCAGCTCTGTGGTACATTGCAAAGCCTGTCCAGAAATATTTATTGCTCCTCCTGTCAAGAGGTGGAGTTGATTTCTCCAACCATTGAATCTGGCTGCCTTTGGGACTTGCTATGGAGAACAAAATGCAGAAGTGATGCTGTGCCAGTCTTAAGCTTGTACCTCAAGATGTTTTGCACATATATGCTTTTGATCTTGGAACCCCTTATCCTAGCCCAGTGAACAAACTGGGCTGAGCTGATGATCAAAGACACCTCCTTCACCCTTTCTGTCTACAAGGCCCTCTGAAAACAGCTGGTCCTCTGGTGATCTATCAGTTAACTGGTAGGTTCATAAACTAGCTTAGCCCAGATTAGCCAGCCTGGTCCAGATCCACAGAAACATCTAGATGACTTGAAGTTATGAGCAATAATAAAACATGCTGTTTTTAAGACACTAACTTCTTGGGTGGCTTGTCACACAACAAATGTTGATTCATACAAGCTCAAACATATCTTCTGAGCTCCCTGTCTTACAAGGCCAGGGGTCCCTGAACATCTCCATCCACACGTCCTAAATTCAACGTGCCCAAACCTGACTTCAACATTCTTCCTCATCCCCAGTCCATACCTACTTCCAAGAAGAGCTGATTCTTCTTTTGTCTTTTTTTTTTTATCTTGGCAAACAAAATGTCATCTACTCAGAAAACTGGGCAGCATCCCCACTCCCAATTCCTTTCCCCCCGTATTCAACCCATCACTAAGAGCAGTCAATCCCACTTTTGAATAGCACTCCTACTTATCTACTTCTCTCTACCTCCACTAATGTTTTGTGGTACAGAATATTATCTCCTCTAGCCTGGTTTTCTCAAGCCTCCAAAGTCATTTTCTGACCTGCACGCTTGCCTTAACTTCCATTTTTTATTTCACAGGATACTTTCAAAATGTAATTTTAACCATGTGAATCACCTGAAGAAATTCCTATAATGGCTCACATTCTGTCATAATGTCCATGAGCTTCTGCTGGGCTCACAGCCTTGACTTTAATCCTCATATAATTGGAAAGCATTAACAATTCTTGAACGGGAACATGTTAGTACCAGGGCTCTGCTTCAAGAGAACTGGACTGGGAGTTGTACTGAGCATGGCCTATGGGGAAACTTGGGATGTAAGAAGAGAAATTAAGAAGGCCTTTCATACATCCAATGAGAAAAGATGGATCTCAAACAAGACTGGTGGCAATGGGAACTTTCAGTGTTTTTTGAAGGAAAGTTTTAGGAGGATGAGATGGATACCAAGAAGAACTTCAGGAGTATGTTATTCAGGCTTTGTTCTGACCAGATGTCAAGGGAGGGAAAGGGAAAAGTAAAAACTGCCCGTGATCTCAAGCTTGGCTCACAGATATGAGTGAAAGCACTGTTTGAATAATAAAGTATGGAGGAGAAGGAAGTTTATGGAGCAAAGAAATGGTCACAAGACAACTAGGGGACAGGGTGCTGGAAAGGTGGTTTGGGGTCAGCCCTTCTGTGCTTGCGTGGCAGCTAGTAGCTCAAGCGCACTGCTCAGCTTTTTCCTTCTGCATCTCTGTATACACCATTTCTTCTACCCAGCTTCCTGATCTATTTATTAAAACCATACTTCCAAGATCTTTCTCATGTGTCTTTCTTCTGGCTGCTTATTTACGTAATGAATGCTGATTGCATGATCACTATATGTCAGCTCTAGGGTTGCTGTGGTAAACTGAGCTCTCCCAATGACCCCTCCATCTCTCTCCGTAAGTATCACTTATAACCCCGTATTATGAAACTCAGTCCTGTGTGATATTCAGCTCTACAGCCAATGATAGTAGATCAGAATTACAGTTTGGCAAACTCTCCCAGTACACTAGATCTTAAGTTCATCTTTGTATTTCTCAGAGCATGCAGTAACTCTACAATAAATATTTGATGAATTAATGAATCATGCTATAAAATATTAAAATAGATCTGCAATGATAACATTTTATTAAAATGATTACGCTATTTTCAATGTTAAGACCTAGAGATAAAGTAGAATGGAGAGTCTCTGAAGTTCATTAGCAACTGAAAAGAACCAGTCAAAATTTCATTAGAGGAAACAGACAGGCGTAGCTGACATAGATCACCTTGCCCTGATTTTCCTTGTGAAAGTTCACTGATATTTTATGGTAGTGATTTGTTGTAGTGAGAGGTTTAACTTTCCTGACCCCAATAGTTACATGTGATGTGATTTGCGGGGTGCACCCTGATGCCCCCGCCTCCTTATCTACCCACTGGCAGATGTTTGAGATTTCACTGTCTCCAAAGACTCCATCCTCTCAGTGTAAGGCTTTGATCCGTGCTAAATGACAATATGCGCAGGCGGGGCCACACTGTGAGAATGAAGGGAAAGGCTGGGAAGAAAGCATTTGAGTTCATCATGAAATTCAGCACGCAGTCTCTGGGAGTTGAAGTGAGTCTTTTTGTAGGTGGCTGAGATGCTTGGAGCAGAGATGGGTGATAGAAGATGAAATGCCTTGATAAAAGAAAAAGAAATTGCAAAAATTGTCACTCAACTCTCCTATTTCTTCTTGTTTTTCTATGCCCATCTCTCATTCTTCCTTTCCCCGGATATTTCTTATGAAAATAATATATAATCAGGCCTTGATGTTGTCATTTTTATTTTTATTTTTTTGAGACGGAGTCTCGCTCTGTCACCAGGCTGGAGAGGAGTGATGTGATCTCGGCTCACTGTAACCTCCGATTTCCAGGTTCAAGTGATTCTCCTGCCTCAGTATCCCGAGTAGCTGGGATTACAGGTGCACATCACCACACCCTGCTAATTTTTGTATTTTTAGTAGAGACAGAGTTTCACCATGTTGGCCAAGATGGTCTCCATCTCCTGACCTCGTGATCCACCCATCTCGGCCTCCCAAAGTGCTGGGATTACAGGCGTGAGCCACCATGCCCAGCCACAGTTGTCATTATTAGAGACTGGCTATTGTATAAATAAGGACTCACAAAAATATATTCATCTAGGTCTTATTTTTTGCATTTGTTTTGTTAATATAGACATTAAAAAATTGACAAAGCCTTGTTACTGTGGCCCATTCCCCAGATAGTGAAGTGGTTTTATCATAAAGAACATTTTATCATAATTGTATTCCTTGTATCAACCTATTTTAGCAAAGCTCTTAGTGTTATATGCCTCCCTAGTGAATGAAAAACACATGCTCCATAAAATTCAGTCTTTGAAGAATATCTGATTACACTAAGGGTGTTATTTACATATGACTTAAGAAAGTAATAACTCTTTAGAATGTGGGCAGAATGAGAGCAGGAATTTCTATTTTTGCCCTTTTTGTATCTTCTGTGTTTAGAACAGTTCCTGGTAGATTAAAAGTATTCAAATGAATATTTTTTAAACGAATGAATGAATGGTATAGCTTTTATGGGGTAGCCTCATGAAAAATACTCTGTGTTGTGTGCACCAATGCAGAAGTCAGAGCTCTGGTGTTAAATCTCACTTCTGCTACTTACCCCACTATGGGCCCTGGCATGAGGCCCTTGGTCTCTCTAAAATTCACTATATTCATTTAGCGAATGACTCTTGTGTTAGATCATAAACTCTGTGAAGCTAGAGACTGGGCCTGATTTGTTTCCCGCTGATTTGTTCCCTGCCTATCACTGCCTAGCATAACAGCTGGAATATAGAAAGGGAGAAAGTAAATCATCTGTTGAGAGAATTAACTCATTTTGGTGATCTTAGTAATGTTTTATGAGGACTAAATGAGAATAGCTAAATGTAAGTGTTTTAAAACCCTATGATGAATTCAGATGAAGAGGGAGGATCTTATATTAAACTACCTTTCTTGTAGACAACAATGATAAGTGTTGGAAAAACCTTTTAAAATAGTTATTGGAAGGCATTAGAGAGCAAACAAAAGCAGCCAAAAGCTGGAGGGGATGTCATCTTTGAAAGGAGGAATTGCAGGTGAGGAGGAGGAGAAGGAGAAACAGCCCCAGAGGACGCCACACGCTAAGAGGAGACCAGTGTGGCAGGAGAGGAGAGGGAAGCTGAGATATGAGGCTGTGTAGGCCAACCAGAGTTTCCTAATCTTTATCCTAGGTGCCAAGGAAAGCCACCAAGAAGTTTAAGCAGCTGCAGATGGCAGTAGGGGGGTTCCTGTTTTGAAAGGATCTCCTGGCTGCAGCTTGGAAAAGTGGTCTGATGCAGGGTTCGTTGAGCCAGCTGATTGAGCAGCCTATGCAATGGGATGCATCTTGCCTTCCTTATCTACTGCTGCATGACACATTACCATACAATAAAACTCACTACTCTCTCACAGTTTCCGTAGAAGTCTGAGCACAGCATAGCTGGGTTCTCTACTTGGGTCTCTCCAGGCTGAAGTCAACGTGTTGGCCAAGCTGTATTCTCATCTGGAGCTCGGATCATCTTCTAAGCTTATTCAGGTTGTTGGGAGGGTTCAGTTCCTTGTAGTTGTAGGACTGAGGTCCCTGCTTTCTTGCCGACTGTTGGCCAGGACCTGCTCTCAGCTCCTAGAGGCCACCCTCAGCTCCCAGCCACATAGCCCTCTCAAAACATGACAGCTGACTTTTTCAAAGTTAGCTGGAGAATCTTTCCCTACTCTGCTAGGAAAGAATCTTAGAGAAGGTGATGTATTTTCCTAGGTCTAGCCCAAGGGGAGGGGAGTCCACAGAGGGTGAACAGCAGGGTGTGGAAAGCTTGAGAACCACCCTAGAATCTGTCTGCCATCATTTCAACATGGTATACATTTAACTATTTCCGGGGCCCAGATCTGCCTTAGGGGTGAGACCACTGATAATGACACCCCTTGGTACTCTGTTCTTTTCAGTAAGCCCTTTGGATGGAGTCCTGTACAGGTTACCTGCAGCCAAGCAGATGTCCCTCTTTCTTAGTGGTACATTTCCTTGTACAGTAATGAGCTATGACCACATGGGTGAGTTTTGTTGGGGGAAAGGCAGCATTCCTGATAATAGTTTACTTTATACAATTGGCTCCTTATCACTTTGGCAAAATTTAACCTTTAGTTTGCAAAGAAGCCACTCTAGCTGAACATAAGCGAATTAAAATACTTACTTTTCAATTTTTGTATACGGATAAAGTTCTAAAAAATACAATCCTGTGCCAAAAATTGCGGTAATTGAAAAAGTTACAATAGTTGGCTTCTGTTTTTATAATGTAATTTCAACTGGATTTCCTTTAGCCAGCCTAAGTATGCTTTGGCTTCCTTAAACTCAGATTGTGCCGTGTTTTCTCCCAAAGAGATGTCCCTGCTGCAGGCTTCCTGGCGTTCTATTTGATTAAGACACTTTTAGGGTTGCTCTTCCTTTGGCTTTTACGGATGTGAGAGCAATTAAAAGAAAATTGACTGACTTACCTTCCACCGCATCTTTCTTTGACTTGTTTGCTTCTATTTTCCATTCCATTTATTATTGATAGAGCACTTATTTTCATAGCTTCTGCATATTTTACAAAAACCACATAAACAGCCTTTCCTCCTGGAAGAGGGGAGGGTGCCAGTTGCCATTAAACCAGTGGCCACTCACTTCTCAGCCGGTTATGCATCCCCCATGTCCTTTGGGACTTTATCTGAGAGGGAGCCAGGAGTAGTGCAAGGGGGAGGAATCAGAGGAACAGAAGAAGGTGACACAGGAGAGGGAAAAGCTGCCAGCCAAGCCTGGGCATGGACGGGGATTGGGTGGGAGAGAGGGGTCTCCTTTAGTCATTCAAGCAGAGCACCCCAAAAACCCTGACAGTGGTGCAATGTTCAAGGTGACAACTCTCCCTTGGTTAGCTGTGGGGGATTAACTCCTATCTCCTGGGAACTCTCAATTTGTAAGGATTTGTGTTTTTTTTTGTTTTTTTTTTTTTTTTTTTTTAGCAGAAGAAGGGCCTGGCAACAGGCCTTCCTTTGACATAGGAGAACTGGAAATGTTTCTTTTTTCCTCCAAGTGATAAGGAACAAAGGAGAACATCATCATTAACTATACACTACCTAGACATGCCCAAACCATGTATGTTTGTGAATTTTCAGTAATGTCTGTTGCCCTCCCCACTCCCCACTCACCCCATTGTTGTCTTCCAAACACATAACATGGCCCGAAACGCTTGAGAGACAAAGCTGCAGTGGTGTATGTTGACCCTGGCCCTTGATGCCTCCACAGAGTTCTCCGAAGTAAACATGTGAGCTGAGAAGCTCTTTTCCATGGGCTATAAATCTCTGTAAGTGCTGCTGGTTCTAGTCTCCGGTCTCTGCTGGAAGCCACAGCTGCGGGGGGAGACACTTCCCAACTTTCACTGCTTGGGAAGGGTCAGAGATCCCCCCTGGAGCTGCCTCTGCCCTGTGACCCTGACAAATGCCAAAGGCACTTTCTCTAGGCAGCAACCTGCCTCCAACTTTCTCACCAATACCTGGAGACTTCCTTCCTCAGGCTGACCGCCAAGTGGCCCGCTGGACCCGCCTGGCTGCCAAGTGGGAGCAAGCACAGGATGTTATTTCTGTTCTTAGAAGACCAGGTTCACACAACACAGCCAGGAGTGTGGGAAGGGAGAGGAAGGGCCTCCTTTCTGGCATCCAGTGCTGTCCCCAGTGGGAGTACTGTTTTCCTAGTGGCAGTGAATGGATTGGTCTGAGGCCCTGGGCTCCTACCCAGTCCTCTAAAGGAGAGAAAGCAGCCCTAGGGCATTTGCCAAACCTCAGGAAAGTGCTCGCTTAGTCCACAGGGAAGTGCTGAGGCTCAGCTTGCCTCGGGCCAGATCCACCCAAATACCGCACGGTGAGCAAATCCCCAACAATCTTAAAATACAAATCCATAAATAAAGTTCTATTGGCAGCCTACTCCATTAAAAATAAAAATCCTCTGGGAATGACTTCTCAAGGCAAATGTTGGAAAAGGAGTTTCTAAAGGAACGGAGCAGAGGGGAGAATCAGGCAGTGTCCAGCTCTAGACCTGGCTGCAGGCTTGACTCTGTGCATCTCGGATTTGCGCTGCCCGGTTTGAGGTCTTCTGGAAGCAGAAAGCAAGCTGGAAGGGTGCTGGGCTTGGGAGTCAAAGGTGGATTGTGGGAAAGTCAGTTTATTTTATTTTTTTCAACTTTTATTTTAGATTCAGGGGGTACACGTACAGGTTGTTACAAAAGTATATTGCTTGATGCTGAGATGTGAAGTACAATTGAATCCCTCACCCAGGCAGTGAGCATAATAGCAGATAGGTAGTTTTTCCACCCTTGACACCCTCCTTCTCTTCCCTCTAGGAGTCCCCAGTGTCTATTGTTGCCATCTTTATATGCACGTGTACCCAATGTTTAGCTCCCACTTATAAGTGAGAACATGTGGTATTTGGTTTTCTATGTCTGCATTAATTCGCTTAGGTTAATGGCCTCCAGCTGTATCCATGTTACTGCAAAGGACATGATTTTATTCTATTTATGGCTGTGTACTATTGCACAATTTCTTTATGCAATCCAACACTGATGGGCACTTGCTATTTGTCTTTGCTATTGTGAATAGTGCTGCAATTAACATATGGATGCGTGTGTCTTTTTAGTAGAACAATTTATTGGGAAAGTCAGTTTAATCTTTTGTTCAACAAGCATGTATTGAGCACTTCTGTATGCTGTCATAAAGAAGGAATATAAAAATAAAGATAATAGGATCCCTGCCCCATGTGGCTCACATTCTAGGGGGTAGAAGATAAATAGGTAAACAATTGAGACACTTTGGAGAACAATGAGTCTCATGGAGAGCTTAAAGAGAGTAGGCCCCATGGCAGAGAGCCAATCTGAGCAAGGAAACTCGAAGCATATACCTGGGCGTTAAGAGGAAGTCAGCCACAGGACAAAGGAATGACACATTCAAACACTTGAGTTGAAAACCAAGGGCTCAATAGATGAAGACACCATCTCCTCACCTGTACAGGATATCACTGAGGCTCTAATAAAGAGTGAACGTATACTGTGTGCTTCCTTGCCAGTGTCTAAGAACTTGGTCAATGGCACAGTTCCCATTCCAGGGCTAAATTCTGATGGCCTTTGATTTCTACAACAAGAATTCACACAATGGTCCAATTCCCTCTTTGAGCCGCTCCTAGCCAAGTCTTCCAGTACTCTGTTTTTCCCACCTTATTGTCTTAAGAGACCACACATGTGCTTGCCAATAGCTTCTGTACCTGATATTGTTCTCTTGAGCTCCCTTGAACCCAAAGCATAAAGAGAAAGGTGTGTGTGCACACATACCTGATCACACATACTTCTCTGTGTATTAGCCCAGGTTTAATTTATGTCATGTGCATATACCAATGTGCAGAATATCTTTGGGATTCTCTCCTATAAAAACCCGTGGAATTATTTACTTTGGTCTCAGCTCCTTTTTTGCAGCAGATTACCACCTAAGAGATCCAGACTGCGTATTGGTCATGCCTGCATTTAAGGATTTCCAGAGATGGTGTCCCCAGCTCTCTTGGTCACTGCCCTCCTAGGACCAATTCACCATCTAGGCAAGATGGTCTTCCCTCCATTGGAGCCCCCTTTCTCTGCAGCTCATTTCCTCATCCCCGTTTCTGGTCTTCCCTGGAGATAGAGAGCAAATGGACAGCTCCTCTTCCTAAGAGTCCTTGGTAGAATCCATGACTAGGTTGCCCCTAAGATGCTTTTTTTCCAAACTAAACAACTCTATTCACCTTTGTCTTCCCTCAGGGGACTCTAAGGAGCAGCACAGCCAAGCAGAAAGGAACAGCAGGAAGAGGCCCCTGCAGCGATCAGAGATGGCAGCAAACGGGGAAACCCTCACCAAAATACCAGCAGCCCCAGGCTTCACAGCCCCACACTGGGCCATCTCCTCACACAGGCTCGGCCTCTGAAACCAGCAACATCCAGAACAGCAGTAGCATTTGTCCAGCTTTGCCTCTGGGTCAGGCACTTTCAAGTCATTCTCACAACAGCACTGTGCAATAGACACCGTGATTCCCATTTTGCAGATGAGGGAACTGAAGTTGGGATAGGGAAGATGACTTTCCCAGGGCACCTGGTACAGCTGAAATTTGAACTCACATCTGATTCTAAAGTCAGTTTCACAACTGAACAATTTAAAACAATGGTTGGCCATTTGCTATTTGGAAAGAGTCTTTTTCTTCTAGGTTCTGCATGTTGAACAACTTTTGATAAGGAAGATGATGTCAATTCTAGAAGCTTAAATATAGAGGGAAAGAACTTCGGAATAAGGATAATAGATGCCATTCATGGAGGATCTTGCTGGGATCAAGAACTTTATCTGCATTATCTCATTAAATACTCATGATGTCCCTACAAGGTAGACATTGCTATCCCCATTTTAAAGATTAAGAAATCAAGGCTTCCAGTAGTTAAGTAACTTGCCAAGTTCAAGGGTTTCCACTCCTACTCTGGAGGGTCTGCCTCCAAAACTCTCAGTCACTACTCTTAATGCATGAAAGGTCATTGCGGATGGAAATGTATCACTTGAGTCACATTTTGTATCCTAGTCCAAATGACACATACCTAGTCTGTAAAGATTTGCTCATCATGCATTAGCCTTTAATGTCACATGTACAAAGAGAAAAATTAGCATGAATAGACAGCACTAGCTACGAATAAAAGGATCATGAGTCACCATATTTCTCAACCTCTGATACTCACTGAATGATAAAATACAAGTCTTGTAGTGAACCTAGGAAGCTTGTCATTTTACCTTGTCATGACAGACTACAGCAGAAATGTGCCAGACCAGGGAGCAGATCTGACGGGAGTCCCGGCTTTGACACTGACTAACTGTGTGAACACAGTTAAGTTGTATCACTTTGCCAAACACTGGTTTCTTCTTGGATAAGACTAACGTAGTAACATTACATCATGCTATTAAATGTGTCATATTATTGCCTAATAATAATAATTTCTATCTTGGTAGAAATGCCCACTGCTTTCCTCTTCCTAGGAGATAAGTCAGAGATTATTATAAAGATCAGGTGATGTCATGTATGTGAAAACATCTTATAAGCTCTTATAAGAGGCATGATTATGAGGATGGTGATGAAACTGTCATAGCCATTGTCTCACCATTGTCACTCCAAGCCGACTGCCCTGAGAAGCTGTGAAATAGAGGCCCCAGCAGGGGCCAGACAAGAGCCCCAGACAGCAGCTGTCTCAAAGAAGAGAGCCTCAAATGGGACTTGCGGACTGCAATTCTAAACCTAATTCCCTTTGAAGTTAAGTGCATGTTCTTTTCAGGTAAACATTGCATGAACATTTAGGATGGTTTCTAATGCATCTACCCTTGGTCAAAATCAGGTAATAATAAAAAAACGTATTCCACTTGTGGCTTGGCCCCATTTCTGTTTTTCCTGTTTCCTCCCCCTTCCTCCCCCATACTTGCCTTCCACATGTTGGTCCATCTGTTCTAGGTAGAATGAGCCTGCTAGTCAGGGAGCATGTTTTTTCAGCTTTCTGGCACATACGCATGGAACCATCAGAGAACAGAGAAATACCCAGGTCCAGATCATATTGCAAGAAATACAAGTGACACTGCAGTCCATGAACTCACCTATGGTGTGTGACGTTCTGCTTCTCACACTGAGCATGGATGGAGGGCTGGGTGCTGGGTGTGTGCACGCTTGCCATGGGAGCATTCATAGCCCCTGAGGCCAGAGAGACCTGGGTTACAATCCTGACCCTCTGCAAATTAGCTTTGGGATGTAACTACCTGATTTCCTTGGCTTCTGTTTCCTTTTTTCTGTGTGACGAAACCTGGCTTTTCCAATAGCTCAGAGAATTGAGTGAGAACAAATACAAAGTGCCTGGCAGTAGTTGTTCTGAATGGGTACTTCCCTCCTCTAATCCCTCTACATGAAGCTGCCCTTGGTAGAAATGCACACTGCTTTCCTCTTCTGAGGAGATAAGTCATGTATGGTCTTCATTCAGGTCTTCGACGTACCTGCCACTATAAGAACACGAACAGATTGGGTCATCATACAACGTAGATATATATCAAAACATCAGTTTGTACCCCATTAATATGTACAATTATAATGTGTGCATTAAATAGATATGTATATAAAGACAGCTGAAAAATACTAGGTTACAAATTTCGTTTGGTTCTTTGCATCATTTGTGAATAATATCGCTGGCATGTGGCACATTACAATCGCTGAATGAACAAAACAAAATGGTAGTAACCTGTAGAGAAGAAGCATTTCCATAAAGGGACTAAATGTATACTTGACTCTCTGGATGGGGAAAGAGGTGCCTGGAAGGAGGCTGACCAAAGTGCCATCTCTGTATGAGATGCCGTTTACTGCACTTGTTTGATTTTTTTTTTTTTTTTTTGAGACAGAGTCTCGCTCTGTC